CTGTGCACGGGGCTCTCCCATCACCCACTTAGCTTGCAAAATGCTGGTCATCTTCATCGAGAGGTTATTTGAATATTTTCTTCTGCTAGGATGGAGTGATGTTTCTATTCTAGGAAGCCACTAATCGGCACTTAAAAATCACCTTGCCTGGCCCCCCGTTTCCTCTGGCCATTCCCTCAGAGCATCACTTTTGTAGGCCAGTAGTCTTCCAGGCCCCCGGAGCATATCAACATGTGGGAGTGATGAGACAGTCTGTGAGATGGGATAGAACCCAGATTGGTACTTACATTGTCAAAGATTATCGTCCAGCTCCAGGCAGCCTTCATCCAGTGTGAGTGTGATATTGTCCATGTGTGTTTTCAGCACACTGCTAGGTGAAATGACCTCCTCTGGGAAGGGCTCAAAGCCTGGGTTAGGTGCCACTTGCAGCTTGAATGTGCTGTTCTGACATTGCTTATAACACAGTATGGTAATTCCCTGCTAAGGGACCCCAAGATCCACTCACCTCTGAGTCCCTGGAGAGGGGATCCTGTGTTCTGCTTCCTTTTACACCTCAGCAGCAAGCAAGTGCCTGTCCCGCTGGGAGTGCCCTAAACTGTTGGAGAATGAAGAATCTGGGCCCCCCTGGTAGTTCAGTGGGTTAAAGCACAGCACTATGAAGCCAGCTGCAGCTGCCTCAACACGAGTTCAATCCCTGGCCAGGGAGCTGACCCACATGGTGCGGCAGACACTCCTGACTGCCCACTGCTCCCCTCAGCAGTATACTTCTCAATCTGCCAGTTCTGCTCCCTGTTCTGTCTCTGGTAAATCCTCTCACCACCCTGCACCTCTGGCCTGTACCCAGTTCTGTATGCATAAATAAACGCATCTTTAAAAAAAAAAAAGTGAAGAATGCTGCCTCTCTTATCCAGACATCCACCTCTGCTAAGTGGCTTCAGGTTTCAGGTCTCCAGGACTTCTAGTAACAGAACCTACTTTTTGAAAGTCTTATACTATTATATATTTTTAAAGATTGATTTATTTATGCATACAGAACTGGGGTACAGGCCAGAGGTGCAGGGGCGGTGAGAGGCTTTACCAGAGACGGAGTGGGGAGAAGAACAGGCAGATGCACTAAAGTACACTACTGAGGGGAGCAGTGGGCAGGTCAGGAGAGGTCTGCTGCACCACGTGGGTCACCTCTGGGACCAGGGATCGAACTCGTGCTGAAGTGGCTTTAGCTTCTTAGTGCTGCATTTACCTGCTGCACCACGAGGGAGGGTCCAGTCTTGTACTATTATTTTACCATCAGTTTATTCAGTCATCCAGAGAATGTGTAAAACCTTTATTATGCCTAACACAACATATTACTCATAATTAACTACTAGTTCAATACATGGAAGCCAAGACTTGGATTATAGTACAAAATGCTCTGCAGCTTGCTTTTTTCATTCCACAATGTGTTCTGGACATCTTTCTCATCAGAACTGGAGATAATGTTTCTTTTAAATGGGTAAAGAGCATTTCACAGAAGAAAATTTAGCCACCTACTGATAGACACTTGGGCTATTTCCTATTTCCCACTGCTACAAACAAGGTCACAGTAAACTTCCTTGCTCTGTCCTCACCTCTGGGAACATTTCTGTATCAAATTCCTCTAAACAGAGGAATAGCAATAGCGAGGGCTATGTGCATGTCATATTTTCACCAACACTGCCTAACCACTCATGGAGGGAGAGCTTCCACTCACGTTCAAGGGAATGGTATCACATGGCCAAGAATAGCTGCAAATGCAACTCCCAGATTTGAGGGGTTCTCTGGTCTGGGCTATAAGATCACGAGACACACTTGTTTCATCATATTCAGGCTCCTTGAGTCCCCTTGGCACATCCATGTCACCCACCCTCTTGGCTTCCTACCCTGCCCTGTGCAGAGAAACCCCATCCTCTGAGTCAAGGGTTCTGCATATGCCTGAGGCAAGCCAGGCTTACCTGGCTGGGGGTGGTTAGCTCCTGGAGGGCCAAAGCCAGCATGATTGCTGTCTTTTTCACTGCCATGCTCATTGGAGCTTCATCCCCTTTAGGGAGTCTGCCCTGATCCTTTCCCCAGCCTCCTACACTCTCACTGAGAGATTACCCCACCCCTCTGTTTCCTCCAGGCAGATCACACCAGAATACCTGGCAATCTCCTGGAATGTCACAAAGGCACAGTCATAAGCAAAAAGCAAATAAACTTCCTCTTCCTCATGGCTGACATATACACACACCTGGAGGATGGAAAACAGCTCTGGCTTTTCACATCGAGTCACCTTTTGGGCCCTACAGGTCCATGCCAATGGGTTCCCAAAAGCCCCTTCTCTCCAGTCACCCTCCCTCTGCCCGCCCCTCTCCTAGTGTCCAGGCTTCCTCCATCCAGCACCGGCATGGTCAAGGCGTGGGAGCTTCTCCACCTGCTCCAGGGAGAATGGCTGCAGTGTCTTCACCATTCTCTGTGGCACCAGAACTGGGTCTCACACATCCCAGCTTCCAGGCATATGGAAGCTAAAAGGCAGTACCCATCTTGGCATAGCTTCAAGTATTTAGTGGGTCATTTATTGAACATTAACTCAAGCACACGATAATAAGATCAACAAGATTCTGTCCTCGTGAGTAGCTAACATTTGCTGGCGACTGACTGTGGTCTAGGACCTGCACTGGGCCTTTAGGAGAACTGGCCTTTTAATCCCCACAACAGTCCCACCAGATAGGCAAGTGCTACTGTCAATCCCGTTTCATGAGGAAACTGAGGCACCCGACTCACCACCCGCAGAACCCATCACTAGACCCAGGCAGCGGGCTGTGTCGCCCCTTTCTACCATAAGGAAACCACGCCGACCACCGCATTCCAGCGGGGCCACATCACAGAGAAGCAAGCAAATGAAAGATATTTGTGATAACTGAATGCTGCAGAGAAAGCAAAACCAAATCGGGGTTACAGAGGTCTGAGCAATATTCGGGATAGGAACGTGGGCCCAACTGCCGAAGATTCGCCTCCCATTGGCCAAGAAGCCAGAGGCCACCAGTCAGCATCTGCTTGGGCCAATGCAGGTGCCGGAAGGGAGGGCGGCCTCTGACAGGCGCCCACGCTCCTGCGGGTGTTTGCCCAGCTGTGCTGACTTAGAAGGCGTCTGGGGCTGAGTAAGCAGGCGGCCAGGGAGGGCTTCACCACCCCCACCAGCCCCAAGGCCTCGAAAAGCTGCTCACTGAGCCTGGATTTTCCTCTTTTGAAGAGAGGAGGAGGAAACAGTACATAACACATCACGTGGCTGGCCTGCGCAAAGCCCCTGCACCCATGGATGCTGTCGCCACCCTCCCTTGACACAGGATCACGGTGAGCACAAGGCCTCCCAGCTGCTAAGACTCCAGTGGTAGAGACCAGCACACCAAAGACTGGCGTCTGGGAGAAACGTGCGTGTTTACCCGCCATCTTGTTTATCCTGAAGCACAGCAGCACACAAAATCGCCTGGCGCCCTGCACAAGCCTGACAGTGCTGTTAGACTCCATGGGCTGAGGGACTTCTGCACCATGACCGGGCCTGGCCCCGCGCCCACCCTGCGTCCGGCAGGAGGAATTGCACGGCTGTCTCCGCAAGGAAGCCGCCACGCGGCAAGACCCCGGTCGCTCCACTTCATTGTCGTTGTGTCAGTTACCTTTGTCGAAGGTTATTGTCCACTTTCTCTTATCATCTGGTCTGTTTGTTTTTATCCCAAATCTGTTCTTATTCAAGTGTCCTCCTTCTTCACTTTCTTTTCCTGGGTTCACACATCACCCAACTCAGGAGAACAAAAGCTAAAGCTATTTGGAGCCCAGGCCAGGGAGTCACCCAAGAGGAAGTGGACAAGACAGATCTTCGTAGGCTGGGGAAGAATGGCGTGTAGGTAACAGCTGAGACAGACCAGTCAGAGGACTCACTGCACCCTGGGTGCGAAGACAGAGACTCAACAGGTGGGCTGGACGCAGGAGACCCAGCCGCACCACAAACCACAGACTTAAAGGAAAGTGAGGTGTGGCGTCTGCCTGACTGGGAATGAGCTGAGGCACAAGCGCCCCTGAAGCTTGGGTGGGCAACTCAGGCGTCGCCTCGCTGGGCCAGTGCCCCCACGCGGCCCATCCTCAGGCAAGAGCAGAAATTCCCCTTGGCGTCTGTTTGGAGCCTTCAGTTCATAGTAGCTAGGTGCAAGGACCTGCTGGTCTCATAAGGCCTCTGCCTACTTATAGCCGCACTGGAAATATAAAAGACATATTATTTTATTATTAATTAGTCTCTTTTCTGCCTTCTGTACGTTACAGTGAGGGCATCATATTGGGCTTTTTGGAAACTGCGATTCGCTCTCACACAGCGCAGTTAAAACTGCCCCAGGCACGCGGCCAGTGGCTGTCCACACAGCGTCCACTGTGGTCCTCTCACCAGCCCACGGCATAGACACAGTTACTCTCATGGACAGGTACAATGACATGTCCAGGGTCAAACAGGGAGGGACGGATCAAGGGCTTGAACCCAGGGATGTCTGGTTCCAGAATCTTCATTCCTACCCACTCTGCTGGCTTTCTCGCAAGTGAGGGACATTATCTAGGGACCCCCAGGTCAGGAAATCAAGGGATACTTATTTTAAAAGGGGTTAGTGGGGTGAGAACCAATGACCTAATACATAATGTGTTGATCTCCTCCTCCCCCTCTTTCTTCATCTCATGTCTGCCAACATGGTTCTGAATCTGAGCCAAAATTGGGTTGGCAGAGAGGGGGGCAGGAAGCCGCTGTGTGGCCCTGGCCACGACCGGGAGGGAAACATAGCAGAAGGCAGGAGATGGACAGGAAGGAGCCAGCCAGGTGAGGCCCTGCTGGTCATGAGGCCGAGGGCTGTTCCTGTTCTGATCCTGCCTCTTTCCTCCTCCTCCCTGAAGGGTGGGGATCTCCTTTTGTGGAAAAATACCCAGCTGGGCGAGCCCCAGAGAGTGGGAGGAGGCAAGGGGGGCTGTGGCTCAGAAAGATTCCTTTTCCCTCTCGTGACTGATGTTTACTGGGCTGGGTTCTGGGAAAGTGCTAGGTTGCATCAGACAGAGGCTGCAGGGCTGGAACCGGGCGGTGGCAGGGAGGAGACCTGGCCTCATAAGTTGGGGCCAAAGAGCTGGGAGGTGTCTGGAAACCAGACATAAACAAAGCGCTAGAGAGCAGAGGGATCAGGAGAGAGAGCAGACAGGATGGCCACCCTCCCTGCGGCAGCCAGCCCTTCCCAGCAGATCCCAGGCCCAGAGGACGAAGACCCCAGCCTGGACGAATATGACCTCTACAGCCTGGGCCACTCCTACCTGGGTAAGGCCTGGCGCTGCCACCTTTCGGGTCCTTCCACCTCTGCGCCCCACCCCCACGGGTGACCTGAGCCCTGGACAAGGACCCCTCACTGGACTTCTCCCTTCTTGGGCGCCTCACTTTCTTAAAGTCAGCGTGTTCCCTAGATCCTCCTGGCCCCCTCCTTCCCGCCCCTGTCCACTGGATGGTGTCCTGGGCTCTTTCCACCTCACGTTCCCAGCCTCCTGCCTCTGCCCACCTCACCTCAGACTCTCGCTTGGTTCAGGAGCAGGAGGCCGGAAAGGTCGCACCAAGAGAGAAGCCGCTGCCAACACCAACCGCCCCAGCCCTGGTGGACACGAGAGGAAGCTGGTGACCAAACTCCGGAACACGGAGCAGAAAAAGCGAGGGGCACGGCCCTGAGGCCGACCTGGAGGTGAGGAGCCAGGGCCCCGGGACTGGAGGAGTCCGTCTGCCCAAGGACAGAGCTGAAGGTGCTTGGTTTAGGGGTGTGTGAGGGGGGATAGGTGGTCTCTACATAGAATAAAGTGAGACTTGCATTTGACTCAGCTTCCTGATGAAAGGGGGAGCAGACACTTCCCAAGTGGAGCAAAATGTGATTTACAGAGAGGGAAGCTGAGGCCCAGAGAGGGTGGGGTCCTTCCTGGCATTACAGAACAAGAGAGCAGAAGTGGTAGAATTAGCACCCAGGCTCCGGCCCCTTTCACACCTGCTTTCCTTCCCCAGAGGAGGCTGGAACACGCTCACCACACAGATGGCGACAGGACCACAGAGCAATCAGGACCGCAGCGGGATGGGCTTGGGGGAGAGAAGGGGAGCAGGACCCAGGCCTGTTTGCCCCATCCCACCCCCAGGACTTACCCCACCTGACTAAGTCTCCAAGGGACCACCAAGGAAGCATCCCCGGCCCCAGGAAAAGGGCAAGACGGGGAGCAAGAAGCAGGAATGGAGAGGCAGAGTCACAAAGTACCCCACAAAAGAGAAAGCGGGGAAGGAAACGAGTTTTCCAGGGTGGCAGCGACAACCAACCAACAAAAAACCGCAACGACAGCTTGTGTGTTTTGTTCTCTCCGTCTGTGTTTTCATTTGCACACACGTCTGCCCACACGCGTCTGCAGGCGTGTGAGCCAATAAAAGCCTTTTTGTTCGTGCATGCAGTTGATCATTTACCGGCCGGGGGCCCTGGCGGTGCAGACCTGGCGTGAATGAAGGTGATGTGTTTCGGTGTGGGCACTTGGGCCGTCCTGATGGGGGCAGGGAAATTTCCCGTTCCTTAGTAACCCTGCTCCTGAAGCAACCCCTCCTCCCCCCAGTTCTTCTTTGTTTTCAGAATATCAACTTTGTTGATTATATTTATCCACATAAAAGCACCTTTTGAAGTGCATGTTCTTGGTTGGTACCACCTGCAGGCTTAAAACTTTAAGGGACTTAGCCCGGGTTACTCAGGGTTCAAACTCAAGGGTGCTTACTGTCCTCAAGTAGGTGGTGGATTCCTTTGCCAGGAAGCTGCCAGGACAGTGCTGGCTGGGGAGGAGGATTCTTGGTGTAACCAGTTGGAGAAGCATGTGGGATCAGAGGAGGTGAGATTGGAATGAAGAGGAGTCACTGATTGAGAAACATGTTCCTGTACATAAATACTCAAGCATTACTCTCACATAAGAGCCCCTAACTAGGACCCCTGCCTAAAATGCCAACTCCACTGTATCAGGGGAGCTACTTTATTTTCTTTCTTTTT